GGGGCATGCGGGGGTGGGGGTGGGGGCTCACCTCACCTACCCCACAGCAAACCAAAACACTTTCTCTTCCCAGTACCCACTCCTCCCCCTTCACCTACGAAGTTGTTTCCCGCAGCCTTCGGCCCCCCTGGCTCGGCTCCCCTTTGCAGTTCCTAGGCCACAAAACCAAGTCCATGATGAATAATGCCCAACTGTCCCGCCATTTCAAAGCCATCTCCCTCACCCCTGAGTAGCTTTTTGGTGGATCCCCCCCGTAATGACATTGTTGTCTCCCTAGAATAATCCTTCCAGAGCTCTCATGTCACATCTGGGCCACCTTAACACTGCTCACCTTCACCTCTCTACCGCTGCCCTGTGGTCCCTGCTGATGCCTCCGTCTTCCCCTCCTCCCCACTGCTCCTGACTTCTGGTTTCTGTCCTGACCCACCTGGACAGATGCTGAGTCTCTCGATATTCCTCCCCTACATCACCCTCCTCTGCCTCCTGATCCGATGTCTCTTCCTGGAAGGTGCGGTCACCAGCCTCAGACGTATGGTGGTGACAGAGGTGAGTGAGGCCGGGGACTCCATATCTTCTCCCTCCCTCAGCTCCCCAGAACTTCTCTGAATCTCCTCCCCCTACATCTTCTTTCCTTCTGCCCTAGCCTACCCCTCATCCTTCTGCTCTCCACCCCAGCCTGCTCCTCCCCCCGCTCACTGCTGGTCCCACCCTCTGGGCCCTTGCCCAAACTGCTCTAACCCACCTCCATCCACAGCTCTCTGACTGGGCCTCGCTGGACCTGTGGCGTCACGCGGGAGGCCACGTGCTCTATTCCCTGGGCCTGGGCCTGGGCACCATCATCAACATCTCCTCCCACAGGGCCAGAGGCAACAACTATATCCAGGTGGCCTTATTGGTGGCTGTGGTCAACCTGGTGATCTCACTGCTGGTCACGTCTATCATCTTTATAGTGCTGGGGTTCTGGGCCACCACCAGTGGCCAAGCCTGTGTTGAGAAGTGAGTAATCATAGCCTTGGAGATTCAAAAAGAGGTTTCCCTCCCTCTACCTTAGCAATTCCCCAGGCTCATAGGCTGTCAAGCTCAAACCTCACCAGTAATTAATAATAACAATAATAATAACACATACATATTAATAACTCAGAGAAAACAGACAAAAGGGGAATATTCTAATAGCCACCACTTTATAGATAAGAACATGGTCTCAGAGACATGACTGTACAAAGGTTTCCATAAATTGCAAATGGTGTAAAGATTTCAAAATCAATTATTTAATTCAAAAAGGAGGCAGTTACAGCATTCTGAGCCCCAATCAGTAGTTATTGGCCTGGGCTGCATATTGGAATCATTTGGGGAGCCTTAGAGGACACTTAGGTCTGTCACCCCCAGAGACTGGATTTACTGGGCCTGGGGATGTACTCAAGCATTGGGATTTTTAAAGCTCCAAGTGCTCCAAGGGTAAAGTGAGCTCTCCTTAGTTCTATTTGAAGGCAGAGAAAAAAAACTTCAACTAATTAAAACTGCCACCCGGCTCCAGCTCAACTCAGCTCTTAGAAAAACATAATTAGCTCTCATCAAGCTGCCTGTTGAAATAAAAGGCTTAAACTTATTGAGACTAAACAAAATAAAACAATTAACATGCCTTTCTCCATTGTGCTTCTATATAAATGTCCAGCATAAAATTAAAAGTCTCAAAACATTCCCAAACCCAGGAAAAGATAACCCATGGCCAATAGAAAAAAGATCCAAAGATCATTCAAACATTAGAATGAGCAGATAAGAACTTTAAAACACCTATTCTAAATATGTTAAGGAATTTAATAGAAAAGATGAAAAAAATGCCTGAGGACAATAGGGGTATTTTAGGAAATATGTGGAAACTAAAAAAGAACTCCATGAAAATTCTAGAACTTAAAATGTTTATTAAAATTAAGTTTCATTGGATTTGATTTTTTGTTTTTTAAATATGTTGTTATTGATTTTAGAGAGAGAGGAAGAGAGAGGGGGAAGAGAGAGAGAAAGAAAAAAAACATAAGTGTGAGAGAGAAAGTGATTGGTTGCCTCCTGCACGCACTTCAACTAGGGATTGAACCAGAAACCTGGGCACGTGCCCTGACCAGGAGTTGAACCGGTGACCTTTCAGTGCACAGAACAATACTCAACCAACTGAGGCACACCGGCCATGGCTGGATGTATTTAATATGGGTTGGAACCAGCAGAATAAATAATCAGTTAACTTAAAGACAGCTAAATAGAAGGCTAAAGTGAAGCACAGAGGGGAAAAAAGAATGAGAAAAACTTAACCAGAGCAGCAATGACCTATAAGACTAGTGTATCTATAACTGGAGTTGCAGAGGAAAGGAGAAAGAATTGGGGCAGAATTTTTTAAAATACTGGGCAAATTTCTTCTAGATTTTATTAAAAGCATCATCCCACAGATCCCAGAAGCTCAGAAAATCAAATACAAAGGATAAATACCAAAAAAAAGATCACACCTGGGCACATTGTGTTTAAATTTTCAAAAGCCAAATATAAAAAGAAAATGGTTAAAGAAATTAAAAAAAAAAAAAAAAATGC